TAATAATAATAATAATAATAATAATAATAATAATAATAATAATAATATAGGAAATACTAATGCTCTGAGGGTCATTTTGAAAAATCCTTTCTTAGTGAGCCCCTAGAAGCCAAGAAGAACATACGTGCCAAATTTAAAGTTTGTATGCTTTATGGTTCTGGAGATTTTGTGATGATGTGTGAGTGGTATTTCGCTTTCATATATATAGATAGATATCATTGTTATCAAGATTTTGATAATCTACTATTCACTAAGTATTTTGAATATATATAAATTAAAAAAATAAAATTTAAATAAAATAAAATAAAATAGAAGGTGCCATTCTCCCCACGCCAAACCACTGCAATGGAGAGACCTTAGTTTTTGAAGAAATGGGGGTCTCTGCATCAAGAGGGCTACAGAGACTTCCCTGATCCCCTCCAATCCTTTTGGATGGGCTCCAAAAGTTAAAACATCTTGCAGGAAGAGAGAGGAGGTGTCGGCAGGAGTTCTGGCTAACAGACCTCACGGAAGTACCCAAAAGAGCTTCAAAAGAGTTGGAGAAAAGGGAGGAAGCCGTTAAGGATGCCCAAATAATTTATTAAGTGCCAAATGCAAACAAAGCTAATGGCCTGAATTTCACATTAGAAATGAAACATTTAAAACTTTACCAAAGAACACCAATTCATTCATTTTTCCTTCAGACCCTCCTAAAATGTATGAATAGGTTTTGGGGAAACAGTTTTTCCCTCTCCTAAGTCCAGTGTCAAGTTTCCATCAATCCCCAGGACTCTCTGAGGAAATCCCAAAACTAGGTCTGTCCCAAAGGTGATTTTTCCCTTTTCAACTGGACTTTCTTGGTTATTTTTTTTTTTAAACATTTAGCTTTTGATCCAAGAAGCTTCAGTTGCCTTTGGGGGGGAAAAACACCTTTGGGGCAACCATGACCAGAATGATTGAGGATTTCCATGAAGTCTCTTTTCTACCCCATCTTCTGATACAGAATTTGGGGGGCTTCATCTGCTAATGCCAGCCCTCCAGAGTAGTCTTGGGATAGGAGACAGACTTGGCAAGATCCTGTGTTAGGCAAGACTCAATCAGGGCAGGTTGCAATTGCAATTTTGGTTCCTTCCCACCAAGTCTCAATGTTAGTTCTTTTCTTGGATTGGAGAAAGGACTATGGCACAGTTTTTGAGTTGGCATTGCCATGGATCTGAATGTCATCTAAAAAACACTCGGCATCTTGTACATCTGATTTGCATCTTATTGACATAGTCACAAAGGTTTGGGAGTTGGGAAGCAACATTGGGAACGTTGTATATAACCACGTGTTAGCACAGAGCAAAGAATACCTGTTGGTTAAATATGTGTGTGTGTGGTTTTTTTCCTGTCTCTCTTCACCAACAAATACATCCCCAGTGGAACTTTTGAAAGATCTTGTCGTGGGACCCACCTGGTATCCAGAACAGAATCACATGCAGGTTCCCAGCAGCTGCTCCAGCCCAAACCCCAGTAACACCACAAGTAAGAACCTCCGTTTTCTTCCGCAATTTCTTCAGCCCACAGCTTCCTCCTGGGTCTAAGGCCAACTCGCCAGGGCCAACTCACTGGGCCATGTCTCTACAGCCAACTTGTCCCAGCACAATTTGTCAGAGTATATTCATGAACTGGAATAGAGCATGGTAACAAGGTCAGCTAATGAATAGGCATAGCAAATAAGTCAGCCAATGAGAGCTGTTTGGAAACTGAAACTAGAAGTAGCCTAGGCTTGGCTCTATATTAAGCTCTGCAGCTCTGAAGCTATGTGAAGCTCTGAGTCTGTCTATTGAAAATGAAACTTCTCTCCTCTTGCTTGCCTGCTGAACTAAAGGAAAAGAGAAACTAACTTGCTTGCTGAAGACTGGAGTTCTGCTCTGAATTTGCAACATGTTTCTGTTTGAGTTTGCTCCATGTTGGAGAAATCTACAACTGGTTTGTAAAATCTACTGATTATGTTTATAAAGATGTTAAATGAAGCATCAGCCATCTGTGTTTATTTTTCTGCCACTGAATTAACGCTGCAAAACTCTGAATACAATTCTCCTCGGCCAACTTGCCACGGGACAAAAGTGACACTGTGAAATAGAATCGTTAAAGAAAGGGTGCCAAAGTGTGGGGGGGGGGGGACTAAATGAAACGTGAATGACAAAAATGAAAATTATTTTGAATCATTAAATAAAATGGATGACTTTTCCTGCAGCAAGTAGACCGCAGCGTATTGTGTCCCATGGTGAGTTGGCCATGGAGAATTGGCAGCAGTGAGTTGGCCACAGCAAGTTGGCTGTTCCAATTGTTGGAAGAAATATCCATCTGTTCCAAGTTGGGAGAAAGACACTGGAAACATGGAAAGATGGTTTAATGATGAAGCAGAACCATCAAGCACATGGTCCTGGTGCAGCAGACCACATGGAGTTGTGTGAGAGAGGTATTTATACCCTCTTTTGGGCCTTGCCCTTGAGTTTCCTGTTCCTGTGGTGAGGGCATGTGTTCTATTGGTTGCTGTCAGACTCCTGTGGGGCCACGTGGGCTCGTGTTTATCTCAATCAAGTTTGGTTGAAGCCTGGAGGGTGATGCAATTTCCCCAGGTGGTTGTGCCATGTGGTGAGCTCTGCTGATAGATAATCCTATTATGTCCTGAAGGCTCATGCCTTAATCCCACCACCCTGGAGCTGAAGTTCTTTTGTCTTGTAGATAGGCTGGCCATATATCTGCTGGGGGCACAGAGTTTCTGTCTCCCTTAAGATTTCCATTTCTCTTTTAGGGGAAATGTAATAAATAATATTTTTAAAATATTCCTCAAATATTTCACTCTTCTAGGAGGGGTGGGTGCTACCTTTTTACACCCTTAGCATCCCCTCACCCTGAAGTCCACCCACAGAAGGCCCCTGAAATTTCACTGCAGGCTGCTCTTATCTAGTACTGTGGTCAGAGGCTTTGGGCTTTGTGCCGACCCAGGCCTTTGGGTTCATTCACTTCACTGTGGTTCAAATAACCACGTTGCTGGAAGCCTTGGGCAAATGACTATTCCGATTTATTTTTCTTGGTGAGGACGGGTGCGATGGTGGATAGCAGTAGAAGACAACATTGAAGTGAAACAGAATGGTCTGGGGAAAACTTGTCACTCTTTTATTTTAGTGCTCAATCACTGTTTTGAGACGTTTTACATTCCCTTTCTGAGCTCAAAACCTCTCGTGTTCTCTTCCTACAGACGGGGAGACTGGAAGTATGAACGATGCTCTTGAGTTTACCAGGGTCGAGGCTGATTCAAACCATCGGGTGAGTTTTGGGAAGCAGTTGGACAGCTGATGAGCCCTTTCCCTGTTTCAGTGCTGCGGCCGGGCTAGGCAGCTGCCTTCAGTGGGGGACTGCTGGGTCATTTGCTCAGCCACTCTGTGAATGGGCAGAACCTTTCTGCAAGAGCCCTGAATAGAATTAGAATTAGAATTAGAATAAGAATAGAATAGAATAGAATAGAATAGAATAGAATAGAATAGAATAAATATTGGAAGGAATAGAATAGAATAGAATAGAATTAGGAATAGGAATAGAGTAGGGAATAGAATAGAACAGAATAAGAAAAGAATAGAATAGAACAGAATAAATATTGGAAGGAATAGAATAGAATAAGGAATAGGAATAGAATAGAATAGAATAGAATAGAATAGAATAGAATAGAATAGAATAGAATAGAACAGAACAGAATAAATATTGGAAGGAATAGAATAGAATTAGAATAGAATAGAATAGAATAGAATAGAATAGAATAGAATAGAATAGAATAGAATAGAATAGAATAGAATAACAGAGTTGGAAGGGACCTTGGAGGTCTTCTAGTCCAACCCCCTGCCTAGGCAAGAAACCCTACACCACTTCAGACAAAGGGTTGTCCAACATCTTTTTAAAAACTTCCAGTATACAACTTCTGGTGGCAGGCTGTTCCACTGATTAATTGTCCTCATTGTCAGGAAATTTCTGCTTAGTTCTAAGTTGCTTCTCTCCTGGATTAGCTTCCATTTGTTGCTTCTTGTCCTGCCCTCAGGGGTTTGGAGAATAGCTTGACTCCCTCTTCTTTGGGGCAAACCTTGAGATATTGGAGGACTGCTATCATGTCTCCCCCAGTCCTTCTTTTCATTAGACTAGCCAAGCCCAGTTCCTGCAACCGTTCTTCACCTATTTTATCCCCCAGCCTCGTGGTGACCAAAACTGAATGCAGTATTCCAAGTGTGGCCTTATCAAGGCATTATAAAATGGTATTAACATTTTAAAATTATGTTAATGTTAATTAACATTAACATAATTTTATTTTATTTTTTTAAATAAATTTTTATTAATTTTCCAAATTTTAAAAAACATAAAACAAAACTTTATACATTGTTATCAACATCAAGACATCTTTTGCATTTCCTCACATTTTTCAGTGTATGTATTTACTTATTATTTACTTATTATTAACATTGAATGCAGTATTCCAAGTGTGGCCTTATCAAGGCATTTTAAAATTATGTTACTGTTAATTAACATTAACATAATTTTAAAGAAGGCCAATTAAAAAAAAATCATAGGGAAACTGATTCCCCCTCCCCCAAGGAAGCTGATGGAAATCTCACCTCTTGAAATTCCTTTGAAAATGTTTTCTCCCAGCTTGCCTTTAGGGTAGTTAGAAAAAAAAGGCTTATTGCTAGGAAAATTCAGGGCTTGCGCAAAGGTCATTCTTGAGACGTTCAGCAGCTTTCTGTGGCCTGGCTGGGATGACTGGGAAATTGGGGGGGGAATCCAGTAGGAGAGAGGATTTGTCCCTGGGCCCATTAGGAACTGGAGAGGAGTTCCTGGGGTGGGGTGGGGGCTTTGGTCCCCCTTCTGTTTTGAGCCGGCCCAGACTCAGCTCCCTTGCTGAGCTTTCAGTTGACGTTGGCACTGTGGCCTCTGATGTGATTGATGCCTTCCTCCTTTAGGATGGAAACGGCAACCAGGTGCAGCCCAAAGGAGTGCAGGAGGTGAGTTGGAAGCATCCCTGAGAGAAGGAAGAGGGATGATGCGGCGCTCTACTTTTGGGTGGGATGCAGGAGGGAGCTTGGTCTGGCCAGACTGAACACAGCCTTCCTCTTCCCCAATCTCCAGGAGATGCTGCAGCGCCTCAAGAGCCTCTACTCTCTACTCCATGGATTGCAGGTTAGAGCCTCCACTATTAAAGGGTTATTAAACTTAGTTAAGTTGGGAGGCGGGTGGCTCAGTGGCTAAGATGCTGAGCTTATCAATCAGAAAGGTCAGCAGTTTGGCGGTTTGAATCCCTAGCACCGCATAATGGAGTGAGCTCCCGTTCCTCATCCAGCTTCTGCCAACCTAGCAGTTACGAAAGCCCGTAAAAAAAATGCAAGTAGGAAAATAGGGACCACCTTTGGTGGGAAGGGAACAGCGTTCCATGCGCCTTAGGTGTTCATTCATGCTGACCACATGACCGCGGAGACGTCTTCGGGCAGCGCTGGCTCTTCAGCTTTGTCACGGAGATGAGCAGCGCCCCCTAGAGCCGGAAAACGATTAGCATGGATGTGCGAGGGGAACCTTTACCTTTACCTAAACTTATATTAAGTTAATGGAATGCCGTTAAGATGATGGCTGTCCCTTTAACCCTATCAAAAGCTGTGCCCTGGGCTTGTGCCAAGCAGAGCAGCTGACAATCTCCTCTCTTCATGAGCTGACAGCCTGACATTAGCAATGGGTTTGGGGGGGAAGATTGGACTCTAAGGAAGAAGCGGGGGGGATGGAAGCCCAGCTGGGCTTTGTGAGAAGCTACAGACAGCCAAGGATGTGCAGATCTGGGAACCGAGAAGCTGTTTCCAAAACCAGAGTTCCCCAATGTTTGCAGGCTGGTGGAGGGGGAGGGGATGGTTTCTGCAAGCAGCTGACAGCACGCACACACAGCTCCATTTACATGAGTGGCGCACACATGTGTCTGTTGCTCGCACAAACGGAGAGCGCAAATGAGGATGTGCACGCACTTGCCGGCAATTTCCAGAGCCCAGTTGCAAACCCCTCCCAGATTGGGGACCCCTGTCCTGATTCAGCCTTCAGTCCTTCCGAGGTCGGTAAAACGAAGACCCAGAGTGTTGGGCAATACACTGACTCTGTAAACTGCTTAGAGAGGGCTGGGAAGCCCTGCGAAGCCCTATATAAGTGCTGTTGTTTAGGCGTTGGCGCCTTCTCCATCTCTGCATTCTTTTGGCTGACCTTGTGCTGGACTGGTGTGACTAGTTTTCTGAGCCAAGCACAGCTTCACTCCCAAACATCCCCCCCAATCCCCACATCCTTGTCCCTCCACATTCCAATCCCTTGTTGTGGTTAGCCGGCAGCAGGTGTGGACGGCTGAGGAGAGCGAGGACTCAGATGAGGGGCCAGGACCATCAGGAAGTGGACTGCTGCCTTCAGAGATTGTCAGGGCTGGCAGCAGCGATGAGAAGCTTCCCGAGGAGCCTGTGCCAAGTGTGTGTGCGTGCAGGGTTGCTCACAGGAAAGAGCAGCTGCTGCAGCATGGGAGTAAGGCTGCAAGGTAATGGCCTCTCCTTCAAGAAGATAAAAGCCAGCTGTGAAGCGGACGTTCTTTGCAGGAAGCAAAGACATTTTGAAACTCCAGCCTCATGGACATTGCAGTATCTTAAGACTCTTGTGTTGTGAAATATTTCTTATCTGTTACTCTTGGCTGTCTCAGTTTTGGCAAGGCTTGTGCTTATCAAAGTTAATTAGTTTGCAGCAGCCTTTTAACCGGGGATTCGTAAGAATCATTAAAAGGTTTCTGTTCCCTTTGGTTCGTGTTTGTTTTATTGGAAAAGGGTTTGGGTCAGAACATCCCTCCACCCCCGTTGCTAATGTCAGGCTGGCAAGATGCGATGCGCAGCTAGAAGCAGAACGGCATCCTATGACAGTACAAGCACAGCTGGCGGGGGGGGGTCGGGGAGGGGAGAGATGCTGCTTGCTGCCCTCTTCCTCTTTCCTCCCTCAGGGCATTGTCGCACATCAGGACTCCCTTCTGGCCTTCCAGGCGCCTGAGGCCGGGGAACGGCGGGAACGGCTGAGCCGCAGCAATTCCTGCAAAGAGGCCCCCACCGCGGCCGAACAGCAAAGCACGGAGCTCTCACTCTTGCAGAAGCAGCACGCCCTCTTGCAGCAGGAACTGAACCGCTGCCGGCAGCTGGGCCAGGAGAAGGCCCAGGAGGTGGCTGTTCTGGAGGCCCGGCTGCGGGAGAGTGAGGGGGAGCGGCAGCGGCTGGAGCGAGAGGTGGACGAGGCCCGGAGGCAGCTGGCCGCGCCCCGGGTGACCATGGAAGCTGTCTGGATTCGGAAAGGAGCTGAGCCCCGGAGGCGCAGTTTGCCTGCTGGGGATGCTTTGTACCAAAGTTTCACGCCTCCTCCAGTGAGTGCCAACACCCTTCCTCCTGTCCAAGGGGCTGGTGTGGGGAGGTCCTTGGCTGCATTGGATAAGTCAACCCCAAAAAGAGAATGAGGTTCACTCAATCCGCAGAGTTTTAAATGAAATCAAATCCAGGTTATAGCTAAACAAATTCAGCATGTTGTGCGAATGCAACCCTTGAAATTAAGTTTGAAGTGGTGTAGGATTTCCTGCCTGGGCAGGGGGTTTGGACTAGCACAGGGGTCACCAAACGTTTGGAGTTCAGGGACCACCAAACCCATAATTTTAAATCCCACGGACCAGAGACCCTGGGAAAATCCCAAAAAAAGTCTACAGGAAAATTCCCCACCCCATTTTCCTACCGATCGATCGTTCTTTATTTGGGATCACAGGATACCGTCTCCAGCTCCGTTCTCAGGGGGAGAGAGAGAGAGACTTTTGGCTTCATGCAAGGAAAGCATCAGAAATCTTTCTTTCTCTCCCCCAAACTCTGCCAGAAATGAGTCTTTGCCAATGCAGCCTCTTGAAGCAGAATGCCTTGCAAAGCCCCAAAGACTCATTTCTGGCGGAGTTTGGGGGAGAGAAAGAAAGACTTTGGCTGCTTTCCTTGCCTGCAGCCAAAAGCAGAAGGAGAAAGAAGCGGAAAGAAGCAGCCCAGTGGCCAGGCCAGGCGCGTGGGGCGAGTGGGGCTAGTTCCCCCTCTGCACTTTCCCCCCTCCCCTCACTACCCTCTGTTGTGCGCAATGCAAGCAACGCAAGCCTTGTGTTCCCACGGGCCATGTGGGCGGCTCAGCCTTGTGTTTCTGCGCAGCCTGGATTAATTGCTTTGGGGGGGACATTTCTCTGTGGACCACCAAAATTTTCTCGCGGCCCACCCGTGGTCCCTGGCCAGGGCTGGCGACCCCGGAATAGAAGACCTCCAAGGTCCCTTCCAACTCCGTTATTCTAGTCTATTAAGGAGCCCCAGGTTGGCCGTTTGTTACGAAATTTGAAAAGCAACTGGAGGAATCTGAAGAATTTTGAAGGCGGAAGGGTTTGAGTTTGAGTTTGGTCTTCTTCAGCTCCCCCGGGGTTTTCCAAGCCAGGGAGCTGCAATCCACTGCCAACTGCATTCTAGCTGGATGCCCCCCAATGTGGGTTCTCCCCTAAGGCCCAGCTATGGTGGTGCACGTCAATTTATTGCGCTTGCATCCCTTCTGTCAGATTCTTCTTCAATCTGGCTTCAAAAAAGAGACCCCACTTGGACCATCAAGGTAGTTCTTTTTTTAAAAAAAATGGACTTCAATAGAGTTCAATAGAGTTGGAAGGGACCTTGGAGATCATCTAGTCCAACCCCCCTCCACCCAAGCAGGAGACCCTACACCATTTCAGACACGTGGCAGTCTTCTTGAAGCTCCCACAACTTCCGAAGGCAACTTCTGTTCCATTGGTTGATTGTTCTCACTGTCAGAAAGTTTCTCCTTATTTCCAGGTTGAATCTCTCCTTGTTCAGTTTCCATCCATTCTTCCTGGTCTGGCCTTCGGGTGCCTTGGAAAATAGCTTGACCCCCCCTCCTCCTCTCTGGGGCAGCCCCTCAAATATTGGAAGACCGCCATCCTGTCTCCCGTGGTCCTTCTCTTCCCTAGAGTAGCCAGGCCCAGTTCCTGCAATGTTCCTGTAGGTTTGAGCCTCCAGTCCCCTTATTATCTTTGGAGGGGAGAAGGCTGCTCAGTCCCCCTGACTCGCACCAAACTCTTGACTGAGCGCTCAAGAGCTGCAGGATCCCTCTGGGGGTAGGAGAGGCCCATTCTCCCACCTTGCAGCCTCCCAGGGCTAAGCCCAGAGCAGCTGAGGTTTTGGGGGAAGCTCCCTCTCAGTGGCTCACACTGGAAGACCTGGAGCTTCACTCAGTGGAAGAGAAGAGTATCTGAAGGCAGGACAAGAAGCAACAGATGGAAACGAATCAAGGAGAGAAGCAATCGGGAACTAAGGAGAAACTTCCTCACAGTGAGGACAATTAACCAGTGGAACAGCTTGCCACCAGAAATTATGGGTTCTTCAAGCCTGGAGGTTTTTAAGAAGAGGCTGGGCAGCCGTTTGTCTAACATGGGTGTAGGCTCTCCTGCTTGAGCAGGAGGTTGGGCTAGATGACCTCCAAGGTCCCTTCCAACTCTATTCTGATCGAGGGAAGGCTTTGAAGGCCCGCCAACCAGATGGTCCTTCTCGGACACAGAGGGACGGGCCTGCGTTTTAGCAACTGAATCTCTGCGTTGGAGGGCTTCACTCAGGCTCTTCTCACCCCTTTTCTTCCCAACAGCAGAACCGAGTCGGAGAGCCCCTCTCGCCCGGCTGCCATTCCCTGCACCGGACCTTCCCCAGTGGCCAGCGGGACGAGGTCGCCTTCTCCGGCATCCCCCTGCAGGAGGAGGCAGAGGAACATCTGCAGGTGCTGATGGAGGAGGAGGGCCTGGGCAACTCCCGCTCTCCCCCATCCAGCCCCAGAGGTGAGTTGGAGCATCTGTTGTGAGGCTGGCCCTTTCACCCGGCCAGGTGAAGCCAGATATAGGTAGCCCTCCACTTAACAACAGCTCGTTTAGCGGCCGCTCCAAGTTACAACGGCGCTGGAAAAAAGTGGCTTGGGACCTTTCTTCACACTTACGACCGTCGCTGCATCCCCATGGGTAACCTGGATGCTCAGCAACTGATTCATATTTACGATGGTTGCAGCCTCCCAGGGTACCGGGATCCCCTTTCGTGACCTCCCATGGGGGAGCCCGATTCATTTAATGACCGGGTTACCGACTTAACAATAGTGGCAAGAAAAATGGTAAAACTCAGTTAACCAGTGCTTCACTTGGCAAGATAAATTTTGGGCTCAGTTGTGGCCGTAACTTGGGGGCTACCTATATTGTGCTCAGCTGCTGGCATAAGCCGAGAAACTCCAGGGGGCAGCCAGGTGCCACTTGGTCCTCTTAAGACGGGCACTTGGAGCCTTGTCCTCCTGCCCCTCCCCACTCCCCAGGCGAACCCTGCTGTCCTAGTGGAATAGAGGATAGTGGATAATGAGATGAGGCCTATAAATCTATATACTGTATATAAAAGCGAAAAAGCACTCGGGCATCATCACAAACTCTCCAGAACTGTAAAGCCTACAAACTTGAAATTTGGCCCCTATGTTCCTCTTGGCTTCTAGGTGCTCGCTAAGAAAGGGTTTTTCCAAATGACTATCGGAGCATTTAGAGTATTTCCTATATTATTATTATTAACATGTTCTGATGCTAAGGAGTTCTACTCCTCCTCCCCACCTGAAAAGAAATCCCTTCCAAATACAAAACACAAGCAGAGGAGAGGAGTTTCAGTTTCAGAGCACCAAGCAGCTTTAGTACAGAACAGTTGAGCTAAGCCACGCCCAGGCTCCTTGCTGTCTCCTCCTTGCTCACACAGCAAACACTATTTCAGTTTCCAAACAGCCCTCAACTCTCTCACACACTGACAGGACACTACCGATGGATGCTGGTAGGCAGAAGCACAATTTTCCCCCCTTATTTTCCTCCCAAAAAAACTAAGCCCGACCACATAGTTTCGTAGCGAAGCACAGGTATCGAGCTAGTTTAACAAATAAATACAGAACGGGATGTTCCAGGTTTTACACAAGGCAGAAGCCCTGCATCCTCCGCGAAGCTTCCATCCCCCAGGAATGCCTCTTGCTGCTTTTTTCAGATTTCCTGAGGATGCAGGATATTCCAGAAGAGGTGGAGAGCATCCAGGAGCCCAGCGCTGGTGACGGAGACCTCCTGGGCAGTTAGAGGGTGCCAGGTCCGGGGAGCTGCCTAGCACGGCCCGAGCCACCAAGGACCACCTGCTCCCCTGCCGGTCCCCCTCCCTCCATTTTTGTTTGATCGAAGCCCCACACCAGGGGGTTTCAGGGACCTGGAAAACCACCTCATGTGAACTTTGGGCTGGACTGGGGGAGGGAGAGGGAGGGTAGAGGGAACGCCTGTCCCAAGAGTGGGCAAAGAAGGGCGGGCAGCCCATTGAGTTGCACATCTCCAGGGACCGGTGGCTGTTGACCTCGGTCACCGAAGGAACCTTCCTTTCTCTAGCTCATGTTGCTGGGTTCAGGCGGGCGCCTTCTGGGGTCCATAAAAGCCGCCGGACCATAAGAGCCCCGGTGCGTCGGGGCTGATTGGGATCCTAACCCCACTCCTGCTGTACTTCCTGCAATTTAACTTTTATTTATTTTGGAAACGGGGGTGGAAGCCGACCCATCCCGATGGAAGATATTTTAAATTATTGTTATTTTTTTTAAGTTGTTTCTGCTTTTGTTGAAAACTTTCAGGGGGTCTCGAATGTGAGCATTCAGGGCAAAAAAGTAGCAAGATTGCTGGTCAGCCCCTCCACCTTGAAAGAGCCAGGAGAAGGCAGGTCGACCAAGGAGAACCCTCCAGGTCCTTAAATTCTTAAATTTAGGTGTGACTCAGTCAACTTGGGGTTCTGGATTTTTATTTTTCACCAGCTGCTCTCCTGCTAGTCAGCCTTTGTTTAGTTGAGAGAGCTTTTTTCCTTTTTTTTTTTTGAAATCCAGTGTTTCCCACAAAAAGGAGGAATTTTGACTGACTTCTCGCTCTTCCTCCCAAGAGAGAAATTGGTTTGCAAATCTCCAACTCTTGACTTCTTAAAAGAGATCTAATTCGTTCAGCTTTAAGGCAACGGCCTGTATTTTCAATCTCTAATCCAGAGGTTTCCAAACTTGGCAACTTTAAGACTTATGGACTTCAGCTCTGGGAGTTGAAGTCCACAAGTCTTAAAGTTGCCAAGTTTGGGGACCCCTGCTCTAATCTTAATTGGTTTTGGGGAAATAGATCCCAGAGAGATGTTGGGGTTTGTAGATGTTCCACCAACGAATACTCAATCCCTGTGTGGAGATGATGTTATAATATGATCAGTTAAACATCAAAAACCTGGAGTTATTTTTTTTGCAAGCTAAATTTTGCCAATCTTTCCACCCGGGAAGGGAATGTTTTCTGTCTGCAAGCCTGATGGTCTCCACTGATATGCATTGCTGGGATTTCAGAACAATATCTCTGTTTGGGAATTTAGATTGTGCTGTGAAAATTCGGATTTTGTTTGTTTGTTTGTTTGTTTTATTGGGGGGAGAGCAAAGAGCAAAGACACAATTTTCAGGGTTTTTTTAAGCCACATTTTTTTTAACCAAAGCTTAGTGGATTTTTTTTTTGTCATTAAAAATACGTATCAGGGAAAAAACATCAGGGATTAGAGATTGAGTTTGAAATTGGCCTGAATTCTAGCTTGCTTGGAAACAAAGATAAATGTGGTTTTATTTTTTATTTTTTTACATTGCCATTGACACAACTTGCACACCCACTGAGTATGTTTAGCCCGAGTGTGTATAGCCCGAGTTGATCGAAACAAACGCCCAAAAAAAGGGAACCCCTTTTCTAAAGATGTCGGTGTTTGATCACTCCTTAAGATGGTTGTTCCCGAGAACAAATTCCACCCCATCGGAAGGAATGAAAAATAAAGTACAAGAAGGAATTTGTGTAAATTGCAAATAGGGGTCTCTCCTCTCTCATCCTTGCACAATTAAAAAAAAAAACACCATTTCTAAGATGCTATTCCAGTCAATTCCATCCCAATTTCTACAGAGAATAAATGTGTGAAAAAGAAAAAAAAACTCAGCTTGGTAATAGAAATTGTCCCTCACAGGTCATTCTTCAGATGGCCAGAAATCCCCCAACAATCTTCTCCTTTCTCTATGGAACCACCATCCAATCCATATTTCTCTCACTTTAGCCATTTTTAAAATTCCTTTTCAACCCTTAAAAAAATTTCTTTTACTGATTTAAAAAAAAAAAAGGAAAAACACTCCTGCGATTCTGACCAGTAACACCTCTTAACAGAGAAGGTTTAAAAAGAGAAAGAAAGAAAGGAAAGAAAGAAAAAGAAAGAAAGAAGAAAGAAAGAAAGAAAGAAAGAGAAAGAAAGAAAGAAAGAAAGAAAGAAAGAAAGAAAGAAAGAAAGAAAGAAGAATGTGCCATGAAGGACTTTTTTTTAAAATAACAAAAGGAGAGTGATTTTTTTTAAATTAAATGTATATGAAGATAAAAAACGGTTTATTGTTTTGCTGTTGATTTAACTTGTAAAAGAAAAAGGGGACCAGAAAAGTTTAATTAAAGATATCAAAACCGAGAATGTGTGTCCGCTTTGCTGAGGGGAGGGTATGTAGAGGATTGGGTTGACCCCTTCCACGAAGGCTGAGGAGGACTGTGGGTTCCTTGGGACTCGAGAAGGAGGAGGAAGAGGATTGTGAGATCGTTGATGCTCTCTGAGCTTGGTTATTTTCTTGCAGACGTTTCATTACCCAACCAGGTAACATCATCAGTGTTAGAAGGGGCTGGGGTTTGGGGGGGTAGAAACTCTGGGGTCCTTGCTGCTCTCTGGGCTTGGTTATTTTCTTGCAGACGTTTCATTACCCAACTAATTATCCAAGAGGGATCTTTTGAGTTTTAGTGGACAACCAGCTAAATATGAGTCAGCCGTGTGCAGCGGCAGCCAAAATAGCTAACACAACCCTAAGTTGCATTAACAGAGAGATACAATCAAAACAAGGGTGGTACTAATACCACTCTATAAAGCCTTAGTAAGGCCACACCTAGAGTACTGCATCCAGTTTGGGTCACCACACTATAAAAAAGATGTTGAGACTGTAGAAAGAGTGCAGAGAAGAGCAACCAGGATGATGAGGGATTGGAGGCTAAAACATACGATGAATGGTTGCAGGAACTGGGCATGGCTAGTCTAGGGAAGAAAAGGACCAGGGGAGGCAGGAGAGCAGTCTTCCAATATTTGAGGGGCTGCCCCAGAGAGAAGGAGGGGGTCAAGCTATTCTCCAAGGCACCTGAAAGCCAGACAAGGAACAATGGATGGAAACTGAACAAGGAAAGATTTAACCTGGAAATAAGGAGGAATTTTCTGACAGTGAGAACAATCAACCCATGGAACAGAAGTTGCTTTTGGAAGTTGTGAGAGCTTCATCCCTGGAGGCTTTCAAGAGGAGATTGGGCTGCCATTTGTCAGAAATAGTGTAGGGTCTCCTGCTTGGGTGGGTGGGAGGGTGGACTAGACAAACTACAAGATTCTTTCCAGGTCTATTAATCTGTAGAACTAAGTAACAGCAGCAGTGTTAGAAGGCAAGGGGGCTGTGGAGAGGAGGAGGAGGAGGAGAAGGATGACTGTGGTGTCCTTGGTGCTCTGAGTTTGGCTTTTTTCTTGCAGATATTTCATGATCCAAACTAGGTAACATCATCAGTGTTAGAAAGGAAATGGAGTCAAGAGGAAGAGGGGTGGCAAGCAGCACTCAGGGGGCACACTGGAGAGAGAAAACCACATTGTCTGGGAAGGGGCTGGATGTCCCATCTTCGTAGATCCAGGCTTGGAAGCTGCCCCTGGGCATTTGGGCCTAGGAGGGCCCTTTGGGAATTGAACCTTCCCCAAGCCATGGCTACACTTGTGGTGAGCGTCTAGGCCAGAGGTCTCCAAACTTGGCAACTTTAAGACATGGACTTCAACTCCCAGAATTCTCCAGCCATCTTTAAGACTTGTGCACTTCAATTCCCAGAATTTTGGGAGTTGAAGTCCACAAGTCCTAAAGTTGCCAAGTTTAGGACCCCTAGTCTAGGCCCTTGGTGGGAGCGGAGCGTGCAGCATTGCTGAAGCCAACAAGTGCCCACTGAAGAGCATGAGAGAGCAGTGCCACAATGGCAGTGCCAGGCAAAGGCTAATCAGATGTTTGGATTGTGTCGTCCCAAAACCCACAAAACACAGGCAGCTACTTGTGCTCGTTCCTGGAAACTGAACCAGGACAGAAACCCATTTCCCAGAGGGGGCAACTTAAACCTGTCTGACCCACAAGTGATCAGTGAGCCCTGCAATACTAGTTTGCCGCAGTTCGGTGGTGCAGTGGTCAGAGCGCAGTACTGCAGGCTACTTCTGCTGACTGTTGGCTGCCTGCAATTTGGCAGTTCGAATCTCACCAGGCTCAAAGTTGACTCGTCCTTCCGTCCTTTCGAAGTCGGTAAAATGAGGAGCCAGATTGTTGGGGGGGGGCAAGAGGCTGACTCTCTACACCGCTTAGTAAACTCACAGGTCCCAGGCTACTTTGGGGGGCTCACATCCTCCCCTCTGTACACCACGAAGGATGTTCACCTTTGACTGATCAGTTTGGGAAAGACAGGTCCATCCTTTCAATGAAGCGCAATATTTTTCACAGAAGCAAAGCATTTTGGGTGAAATCCTTCCGGCAAGATTGTGGTGTCTTTGTGACAGAATTGTAGAGCCAGAACTGTGGAGTTGATACCTTGAGGATCATCTAGTCCAACCCTGGGGAAGTCGAGTGTCCTGTCCTCCATTTGGTCACCCCACTCCAGAGCCTGTGGCCTCCCCATTTCTCATGTCTCCCAGGGAAGAAATAGGGAAGGAAGTCTTCATATATATTTTTTCCCCAGGAAGTTCCAGGCTGGGCGTGAAGAACAATTGCAGGATTTGGGTACGGTTAGTCTAGAGAAAAGAAGAACTAAGGGGGGACATGAGAACACTATTCCAATATTTGAGGGGCTGCCACTAAGAGGAGGACGTCAAGCTATTCTCCAAAGCACTTTGAAGGCAGGACAAGAAGCAACAGATGGAAACTAATCCAGGAGAGAAGCAACCTGGAATTAAGGAGAAACTGCCTAACAGTGAGAACAATTAACCAGTGGAACAGCTTGCCACCAGAAGTTGCATGGGCTTCATCCCTGGAAGTTTTTAAGAAAAGACCAGACAGCCACTTGTCTAAAATGGCATAGGTTCTCCTGCTCGAGCAATGGGCTGGACTAGAAGACCTCTAAGGTCCTTTTTCAATTCTATATTCTAAAGTAGACACGTATGAAAACCATCAAGTCAGTTTCAAGTCGCCCTTTAGAGAAACGTGGAAGAAATTCTTACGCTGCCCAGGAGTAAGGCAGAGATCCGGGAGCTCTTTCTTCAGGGGAAGGAAACTTCTGAAACGTTGCAAAACATTCGCAGCAAGTACAGTGGTGGGATTCAAATATTTTTGACACCGGTTCGGTGGGCATGGCTTGGTGAGCATGCTTTGCACACGTGCACATACTTTGCATGCGTGCACGCGCCAAACACGCACTTTGCACAGGCACCAGAGGCGTTCTAACATGCCTCTTGCAAGCCTGCACAATCCCAGTCGCTTCAGCAGCTGCCGCGCGGCACTCTTCTGTGCCGCACAAAGCAGCTGCACTTCAAATTCAGCGGATAAAGGTGAGTCTGGGAGCCAGAGAGGGTGGGTGTGTGGGCCCAACAGCAGAGCGGCAGAGGGAACGGGTTTGGTCTCTGCTGCTCATCGCTGCTACCGGCTCGTCAGAACCAGGCCAAACCGGTAGAATAACACCACTGAGCAAGTCACCGATGGTGGAAAGGTGCAAGGGCCCCACACGGAGTGTGGACACATGGCTGGCGTGCAAGATTTATGGGGGTTGCAAGCTCCCCTCATTGGTCATTTATTTGGCTGTTGTGCAGCTTTGGGAGGGGATTGCAAGAGAAACCGGTTTCTTCTCAAAGCATCAAAGCAGGCTGGGAAAACAAGACATGGTCCGGTTCCTCTGTTTCTCTTCTCTGCTGTGTGAACTATAAAAGTTCAGGAAGCCAAGAAGGAACCTGTCAGTCTAATGGACTTTGATCTGTCGTATCGAACACTGGAATCCGATATCATCAAGGGACTGGGTACACTGAATTCAGCTTAGTTTGGCAAATACTGGATGATACTAATGAAAGTTTCCCATGCTTCTTTGATATATGGTGGTCCTGCCCCAAAGCAAGAAAATATTGGAACAAAATAAGGAAATGGTTGCAGGAAATTACTGGCCTCCAAATTGAATTTAAACCTGAAATGTTTCTTTTAGGAATAATTAGAGGAGTATTTAAGAAAGAAGTCAAATCTATCATAATACATATATTGACAGTGGCAAGAATCGCTTACGCACAGAGTTGGAAATTAGATAGTACCCCCCCCCCCCCCCTGTTTGATAATAAAGAAAATAATGGATTGTGCAGAAATGGTCATTGGAATTGCAAGATAGAGAAGATACAGAATACTATACAGTCTGGGAGAAGTGGTATAATTGGTCAGACAGTAGGAGTGAAATTTAAGATAAATATGTATATTAACCTAATTGGAAAACTCAATGTCACAAAGCTGCAAAGCTTGTATATGAGTTTTTAAAATGTGGAAAATTTCAATAAAATTTATCTTAAAAAACGTTTCCCATGCATGTTCCTTGGGTAAAATCTGCATTTTATTCTGAGCCAATGCACAGTGCATAAACTATAGTTGGAGCATTTCCTTGCCCCAAAACACCTCTCAGTTGTATTTCTGTCAAAGGGGGCCATTCGATTGACTTGATTTATTCATTTACCTAGTAGAGCCCAGCCTTCCTTAGCAACATGTGTTTCATCCTTAGATTTATTTTTATTAGTACTGAGGCTGTATTTACACAACCTGTTAAATTTTTATTAACTTCAGAGTTGGTTCGTTTGCTGGGTGCTTTGGGTGTTGTGCAAATGTAACTCACTGGTGCTTTAATGAAATGTATTGTGCAAACACGGAATTAGATTAATTCACTAGCTAAGTTTAACTGGGGCCAAAGTCAGGAATGAACGAATTATTTGTTCTAACTCAAAAGTAAAGAAGCATAGATTAGGTTTAGTCTTCAATGGGCTGTGAGGTGAGTTGGGCTGATAGAGGGACTAGAACTCACAATCTCCTGGTGATTGGCCC